CACACACACACACACACACACACACACACACACACGCGCGCGCGCGCAAAGGTCTTCATCACCTGGACTCTTCAACATTGAAACCCTGCTGTTGGAATAGATCTCGCCTCCCCTTAGATGACATATTTGGGATGGGAGCAGATGTTAGCATAGATGCTAAAGAACCACAGTAGCCTGAGACACGCAGCTCTTTGTGTTCTCCATCCACCCATTATGTCAAACCCTTATTCCCTAATGGGGAATATTAGGGGGGCGGAGCCTATCCAAGTAGCCAATGGGGAGAGGCGGGGTCCCCCTGGACGGTCCCCAGTCCATCACAGGGACACAGAGACACACAAGGACCAACAACCACACACACTCACACTAAGGGCAGTTTGGAGTCCAACAACCTAACATGCAGGTTTTTGGACGGTGGGAGGAAGCCGGAGAACCCGGAGAGAACCCACAGACACAGGAGAACATGCAGAACCACCCAGAAAGGTCCTGGTTCCCCCGGGACCCAAACCCAGAACCAACAGGTCTGTGTCCTAACCATTAAGTTGTTATCAGAGTAAATCCCTGTTCAACATGAGTCTGACAACTAAGTAAGTAGATAAATAACTTTAGACTTTAACACATGTTCTGATAGGCCGGGATCGGGATCTGGTAGGAAGTACAAACAACTGGATTGGGGCATCCCTATCTGGCTCAAATCAAAAGTTTCTAACTTAGTTAAACAAGGACTAAGATTATATCTAAGAGTCTTTGTTACTGGAAATGCGAATAAAATACGAGAGAGTGTTCACAATACGGCTCAAACCAAAGGTAGCACAGCTCCAGGGAAAGAGAAGAGAAGGCCTTAAGAGCTCATGACTCTTATGACACCGGTTCCTTGATGTCAATCAATCAATCAATGTTTATTTATATAGACCTTTACAACAACCGGAGCTGACCAAAGTGCTTTGATGTGTCCGGGTCTCTTACTTTGGGAGGAAGGCCCACTCTGTGGAAGCGACGTCCAACCTTCGGGACCTTTTCTAAGGCGTATTTCTTCCCTCTGGACTTCGCTCTGTCGATGGCGTTATAGTGGAATGTCTCACTCGCCAAATACACCACCTAAAAGTAAAATAAACACATCAAAGATGGGGGACGATCTGCTAAAGCTTGTCCTTAAATATTGGCTTCTATACAGAGTATGTAGTAACAAATTGACCCTCTAGGGGGCAGTGCCACTTTTGATGGGAGATGAGCATAGACTGTAGGCAAATAAGAAAAAGGTAACGGTTCGCTATGAGAGAAATGTCGCCGGTGAGACGCAAGTCCAGGAAGAACGGAATAAGGTAGAAACAAATTTCTTTTCCTGCTGAAAGAAGAGAGTCTACTCTTTCTTTTGGTGTGTTCGGTGTTTACATAGTCATAGCACAAACTATTCTTTGGCTCTTGAAAAATCAGTCAAAATGCTCAAAAAACTCTGGCAGTCAATGAGTTAATTAGCCGCTAAAAAATCCTGGTCGATTACATCATTTCAGTTTGAATCCGGGTAGAAAGCTTATAGTTGTATATTCAGATTAGCAGTTCTAAAAGGGAAAAATAAACAAAACACAACATAACGTGTGAGCCGCACCTTGGTTTTTGGCACCACTCCGAGCCCCAGTTTGGAGTCGACCAGTGAGGCGGCGGCCTCGGAGAGGTATCCCTGGTTTGGGAGCAGGCAGCCCCGCCCGAAACAGCACGGGCAGCAGAGCTAACGGGGACAGAGAGGGAGGCATTAATGACCATAAAAACACCCCTAATCAGCAGTATCTGCTACAAAAAGAGCCTCGCTTTTAACCCTATATGGCATGAGTTTTTATTTGTTAGGGAAAAAATCTCACCCCCTTTTCGGGAGCTCATATTGTCGGAGAAGTGGAAGAAAAACTAGTTAATTCAGACAAAATTAAACAAGTTTTAACCAGGTAACTCTTTAACATTCAAGAAACATCTGGACAAACATCTAAAATGGAGATTTC